GCCAAATATAGATGAAAGAGTGACAGCGCGAGAGAGTGGGGTGAGAGCGAGAGAAGGGGAGAAAGGGGAGAGAGAACGCGCGCGAAAGAGAGAGCGAGAGATAGATAGATAGGTGAAGCGAGAGAGGCAGCGACACAGAGCGGGGGCGAGGATGAGAAGAGATAGATAGGTGAAGCGAGAGAGGCAGAGACACAGAGCACGGGCGAGAATGAGAGCGTGCGCGCGCGAGAGAGAGGAGGGGTGAGAGTGACAGAAAGAGAGGAAGACGAGTAGGCCAAACATAGATGAGAGAGACAGCGAGATAGAGAGAAATAGAGAGGGCGAGAGAGAGAGAGAAAGAATCATTTAATATAGTTGCTATAGACTAATAGTGTAATTTACATACTAGGTTACCGTGAGTTTGTATCTTACGTTCAGTGGAGTATATATCAGTTAAGTAAGANATTCCCAAGTCACTTGTCAGTTTCACAAGTACTTGCGCAGTTACTTGTAAAGTGATTTTAGGGAATTTTAGTCTAGTATAACTTGTGTGTATTTTGTCTTAATGCATTGCAGAAACTCGTGACGATAGAAATGTAGTCAAGAAATAGGCTAGAATAGTAGTATTAGTCATAGAAGTAGTTTAGAATCACATTTTATTTGTATATCCATTGTACAACATTCATAATAACAACTGTTNCTCCCTCGCTCTCGACTTTCATGCGCGCTTCTTCTTCTCCCTCTGTGTCAACTCTCACTCTCATCCTCGCTCACAGCTAAGCTCTAGAATCATAAGCCCTCGCTCTAACGCAGGCAGGGCTATAACCCACCAATACGCCGCCGCAGGCGCTGCTGCGGAGCCCTTGGGCTATATGTTCTAGCTAACCTAACCTATTGCTGCCCCTTGCAAGCTCTAAGCTAATCTCCCCCTCTGCCCCCCTCCCCCAACCCCGACATTTACCCGCGCTTCCGCCCCTCCCCCTATTTCCCAACCTTCCCGCACCCCCGCTCCCCTGTGCCCAAGTCCACCCCTCCTCCTCCCCTTCGCTACCCTCTTTACTCACACGATTTTGCTCCGTTGATGGCATGCTCACATTGCTCACGCTGGAAAAGCTATCTCCGTACAATTTAATTTCACTTCAAAATTTACAATTACAAACATTACCAAACATTTACAAATGCAATAGAAAATACACATCGCCATTGAAAGGAATCAATGCAAGGTCGTCATGTGGTGAATCACTTCTCAATAGTTTAATCACATAGTGGCAAAGTTTTCAGCAAGTTGCAATTTTTACAATTTACACAATTATAAATTAATAGTAATTATTAGTCAATTGATTCCATATCATGGTACATAAATGGTTATCAAAACTTAATAGCAGTTTTGCATTTAAAAAGTGCAGTGGCATTTGGGATTTTGGCTACTAACATAAATAATATTATATATCTATATATTATATCTAACAAAAATATTCAAATGAATCCAGCGCTAATCTCAGGGTGCTTCAATCGGATGCTGACAATGACCTAGCCATGATAAATTTACTCCACTCGTATGTCGCAAAACCACAGATAAGATTAAGTTTTTATAAGCATTATTATGCACTCATGTATCTGAATCAGGGAAAAGTATTAAGGTATTGTATATTATGGAGAGTAGATGCAAAATATATTCGGCTTCAATTTTGTGAAAATTATAATTGATGCGATTTGTTGCCAGGCGGTAAAACCTGCGAGCCGGACAAGTCCCCAACCCTAACTCCCACGCTCTTGGAGGGGGGAGGTGCGATTTCCCCATGCTCTGACCCAGCCAAGTGTTGTCTCACCCACCCTGGCACACGCAAAAGCAAAACTGGCTAATTATTACTGGATCCATCAAATTAAAAACTTTTACACTGCGACTGCCACCTGCCATGAGTAACATATGTTCCAGATATTGTCACTAAAGAAATCGTTAAAACTATTTCGATTACTTGAATAGGCTGAAGTCCTAAAAACCGAACTTCATATGAAAAAACCAATGACTTGCAATTTGCAGTAAGCGATGTACATCACGGTAGCTAGACAACTTGACGGTAACAATGTGCATTTATACAACAGTTCTAGCATCAATGATTTACACACTTACAACTTCTGTCAGCTTGACGAAAACCTAGTACATAAGTGTGCTGGCACGCGCTAGTACTCAGGAGTGGCAGTGTTTGCAGCTTCTCAATAAATGGTAGTTGGTGCTCCTGTCCTGTCCTCGGTCTCCTGTCCTGTCCTGGGTCTCCTGTCCTGTCCTGGGCTCCTCTCTTTTCGTGAGTCTCCTCTCCTGTCCCGGGTCTCCTGTCCTGTAACCACATCAAAGACAACAATCTAACATTCACCCTCTAGAGGCTTTATAATACATAATTTTAATGTACCATCAGGGTTCGAATTTTGGCTGAAAATCTAGCAGACAGCAGGACCACCAACTTCAGAAAGTTCAGAAACTGCAGAAAGTTGGTGGTCTGCTTATTTACTAGCAGTGAGTAACAAAATAGTATACAAAAATAACCATTGGCATTAACAGCATACATGTAACTTAGAGTTGGTCAAATAATATATCTCAAGCTCTAGGAATGTCGGGGGAGCTTGTGGGAAAGGTTTTACTTTCGTTTTTCTCCTCCCCAGTCCACAGTACCCCCAATACATAGATCAATGCTGCCGCACATCCGCAAAGTTACAAGTGCCTATAGAATCTTGATACAGTTTACATTGCTTCTAGATGTCTAACTGAATAAAAATGGTCCACTTTCTGCGTAAAGAAAAGTGACGAATTCAGTTAATAGCTTTGATTACGTGCGTGTCAGGTGTCACTGGTCGTGCCCTCACTCCCCACGATAACCCCTGCGACATATGAACTTATTGTTATGCGGTCATAAAAACGGGTCATGTCGAAATCGATTTCTTAGACTGTCACGAGGTTTTGTTAGTGTGGCGAATCATGCGTTGAGGGAGTTCATGCTCTCGGCTCTAGATGTTTTGGATACCCCGTCTACACTCAGGAACAGAGCGTATTAGAATGCGCTCCCGTTTACAAGTCTGTCTAAACAGCCGATGCGATAACCGTAGTATTCCAGCGTAATATGAGGGAAAAAAGTGCCGGTCAGGAGGACTGGCAGTTTCGTAGAGATGGTGGGCGAAGCAAAAACTTGGTGGCCTCGGGCCTCCGGGTCGGCACTAATTTCGAACGCTGTGTACCATATTTACTCGTGTATAAGATGCATTCGTGTATAAGTCGCATACCCATATTTTGCCTTAAAAAGTTGGAAGTGGATGAATCCACAAAATTTAGGAAAATTTAGAAAAAGCCGTGATGTAGATGAAAGTCAATGCCAAAGCTCTATCCTAAGATCAAGGAAGGAATTACTCACTGTAGGGTAGAGCTAGTATGGAAAATTAGCATGCATGATGTTTGAATTACCAAAATGTTAGCATGCTCCAATCCCAGCTTCATGACCTAGCACCTTGGCACCAATTATTCCTCTTCTCTCTCTGATATGCCTGCAATGACATTGCATGAAACACATACAGAATGAACGGATAACAAATAATCTAGCTTGCACCGGTATTTATACCATAGATAACCCACCAGCTATAATAATTATTACGTTTTAATCTTGATTTAAAATTATAAATCAGTCTACATATTTCTACAATTCAATAGTCATTTCTAAACTAAATTGGTCTTAAACATTGTCAATTGGTTCAAATTTATGTTTTTCATAGGAACAGCTGTGTCCCTACGTCACTGACAAGATGACATGTGGACAGCTATATGTTGCAATCATTATACTCGTACTCACCTTGCTCAATACCTGTCCACCCAACACACAAGTCTTCATAACCAATGGTGATATGTGAAGTATCAGACGATGAGCAGACTGGGAAAGGCGAAAACACTGATGTTGAGTGGCAAAGTTAGGTACCCTTCAGCCACACCAGATCCTTGACACATCCGATGGGATGAAAGAAGGATAACAGCCGATGCCATCTTCATAAATCCGACGTGGAATCAAGATGTGCAGTCGTCGCACGCCATGGTTTAATGTAAAGTCAGTTTGCCCACTTCCTTTCGTCCCTTCAAGTCTGAGCCAATCCGGCTACCGTAGCGGCCACTGGGTGCGAAACCCAACCGGCACAGCCTCAGCCATCACTAGGGTGTACTCAGAAAGGGCCTTTACAAGTTTATAGGGAAACCATGGCATTGGCAGCAACAACTACGGCTCCTGTATGAAGATTTTCTAATCCTGTGCCTCGGCTTTAGTAGTTTGTAACATGTAACGTGGGAAGAATCGTCAGCTTCTGTTTGAACAGAATGACCTGAGTCACTGGTAGAATGTCTCTTAGTGGTTCAATGCAGCTCAGAGACTGGTAGATCAAATGTCTTGCTGAAGTCCAGTATGATTAAGTCAGTCTGTCTTCCCTCATTAGTTGAGAATGACTCTGCTAGTTCATGTGACGCTGTGGGCAGCTGAGTCTCTCAACTTTGTTGTGGTTCAAACCCATGCTGCTCATCGATTAGTGTGTTGTATCTTTCCTTGCGTTAATATATCCTTGTATATAATCTTCTAGTATTCTTCTATCTATATCATGAAATCAGATTCAGGGTGCCTGAGGTGCCCAAATTGCTGGTGAATCATCAGACTGCATGCAAACTTTGAAGTGCCGTTGGTGCTGCTTGACCGGCAATGACATCCAAAAGACGGCTACTTGACAGCTTGGTGACAATATTCATCTTTGCCGGCGATGTCTCATAGTCGCCGCTACTGGTACACTGTGGCTCGTTATTACGTTGGGCCTCATCAGTGCAGATGTTTCGCAGATTCTATCTGTTGGTTTTTTTCTTCGTCTTCTTCTCCTTTTTCTTCGTCTTCGTCATCGTCGTCTTCTTCTTCTTCTTTTTCTTTCTCCTCCTTCTTCCTCGAGATGATTTTAAACACCTGCAAAAGTTGGTATGAAGATTAATGTTAAGTATCCGGCTAAAAGCTAGTAGTACCGTTGTTCGCGCTTCGCGCGGATATCAGGCTGCAGATATACCCACACATGCACACATCTATACACACAGTCACACATGCACACATCTATACATACACACAGTCACACCCACACATGCACACATCTATACACACAGTCACACCCACACATGTACACACATGAACACAAACCCTAACCCTAACCCTAAACTCTAACCCCAACCCTAACTCTAACCCCAA